CCCGTCTGTTATACTTGACCTATAATGCTGATTGCCATGTTTCCCCCCAACCCCCCCAAAAAAAGTAGACTGCACAAGTCCCCGTCCCCCCAAGTGCTGGTATGTTTTCTAAGACACAGGGTGACAGTCTGAGGCCAATATAGTGGAAAGAGGAGGGTAGACCTGTTCTCTGGAGGCCTGGTCTACCCCATAGAAGACAACTTTTTGTAATGAAAATTGATGATTCTGTTTTCTCTTATGATGTTTGACATTCTCAAAATATAGTTTAAATATAGCTTAAAATTCATTCTGAGAGTTACACAAGGTTATGGAAAGAATCTAAAAAACTAATTTAGATCAATCAAACAGTCCTTTATTGGCATAGAAAATAGATAAGATGGAACATAGAATAAAGATTACTTTAAAATTACAATTGGGTGAATATACCACCAAATTGACTCTTTATATCTTATCACAGCACAACTTTATAGCACAGTGCAAAAATATAACCACCTTCTCAATTATATCTGGAGAGGAGTCAGTCAGGATAAAATGAACTTTACTGTGATCCGAGAATCCCATCTTGTTTGCCAAAATAGGGTTTATATATTTAGTATGAATTTCTACATAAAAAGGACAATAAATATCAATGCAATGACTTACAGGGACAATATCTAACTGAATATGGCACCTTTTGAAATCTTCCATATAGGACTGCAGATGGCATAACATTAAATTTGGCCAATGAAAAAGCTCTGTTGTGGAATTTGAAGGATGTGGAGCCATGTGGCCTGCTTTAAGTTGAATCTTCAAGCTCAAGGGAAATATAGGCGACAGTCAAATGTAGACTCGCTCACAACTTTAATGCTACTATCTTTTTTGCTCACAACACTGTGGAGCTTAGAGGGAACATACTATGTTTATGTGCTGAATGCTGGACCTGCAGAGAATGGGAGTAGAATTCAACTTCTGAGAGTCTCTGCTTTCATTTTTTTTTTTTTAATTCTCGCTTTCATTTGAAACAAAAAACAAGGTTGCTGTAATCTCAGGAGCAGTTGCTGAATAAGATTTCAACTAGTTAGAGCCAGGGCTTCAGTGTTTTGCATAACTCCCAAGCCATTTCCAGGTACTGTAATACCAGGATAAAGTGTGTGAAGTAGTAAAAATGAATAATAGAAGTCAGAGAATGTGCACATTTGCATAATTTTACAAGTCCATTCTTGATGCAGAATTTAATTACCTTGGTTCAGAAATTTGACTTTTTAAAAAGCGTTGGATACATAAAATCCTAGCTATACCGTTCTACTATGCCACATTGGTGGCATATTGGGTAAATATTATTATTATTTACAATTTTGAGGTTTTTCGGCATCCTTTCCAGGCAGCTGAGTCCTATAAAATCCCAGGCATACCTAGAAAGTGGGATGCTGCATGGCCTAGCAGTTGTGTACCATTTCCATTCTGTTGAAACAGGTTGGAACAGCTGCTGAAGCTTCTAGCCAGGCCAGCATCATGTCCAGGGAGGACTAGGGTTTATGACTTCTCAGACTGGTTGCAGAGTTGTGGAATATTCTGGCTTTGAGATAACTCTGGGGTTTTCTGGGACTCTGCTACTTCTTCTGGGGAAGTTACAGTGCAGTGGAACTGTGGCCCTTATTCTTATATAAGCGCTTCTTTTGGAACTAACTGAAGTACTCATTTCCAGATCAGATTGCAGGATTCGGTACAGAGGTTTTATCTTTCAAAAAAAATTGAAGGGGAGAAACACAACAGAAGATTGTTGCCTGTCCAGCATTGCATGCTAACTAGAATTTTGGGCTTGAACAAGTCTTGATAGGAAAATGGGCTTTAACTCAAAAATGTATCTATTTCAGGTACAAAGCCTATGAAGACATACCTCAAGCAAGCAGTCAACCACTGATGAATTACTTGGTATAGCATTATGTTCATAAAGATATTTAATAGATATTTTGTACATAGTAAAGATGCCTGCATTGATTCACAGTCCTCTCTATCTTATTTTTCAGGTTCTATTTTTATGATTGTTTTAAAGTAATTTGTACAGTAATAAAAGTTGTTAATTTACTGTAAAAGAGAAGTCTGAAAGGTCTGTTTTTCTTTTTAATCTACCTGATACTTCCATTTAAAATACTCTTGGTTATTCCAGTCATTGATGATCAATGCAGTGACATTATTGACCGCGATCAACTGTTCAGAACATATCTTGCTGATATTAAAGTCTGTCTTCTGGCTCCTCTTCACTTCAAGGCTTAATTCACAATGCTGATTCCCACCTATAAAGCCCTAAACACCTTGAGATTAGGGATGTGCATTTGGTTCATCTGAAAATGGCCCATTCGGGCTCCTGTAGGCCGAACAGATTCTCTGATCTGAATCGGCTTGCTGCCAAATTTCGGCGGTAGTTCGGCCCCATTATATCCTATGGGCCACTGAAGTCAATGGCGAAAATATTGGGTATATTCTGGGGGCTGGAGGGGAATGGGTTTGAGGGAGAGGCTCCAAACATGCAGGGTAGTATCTGGAGCCTCTCCCCAAGATACCCACCAAGTTTCAAGAACATTGGACCAGGGGGTTGCCCCCATCGCCTCCATTGTTCTCTATTTCCCCACTGTAGAGAACGATGGGGGCAACCTGTTTGGGGGCCCGTAGAACTGAACCCCTTGGTCCAATGTTCTTGAAACTTGGTGGGTATCTCCTCTCCCTCAAACCTACACTGTGATTTTAAAATTTGGTGTTATGTATTTTCATGTACTCTATTTTATGTATTTTATTTACATTGTAAGCTTTCTTGAGCTTCATAAGGAAGAAAGGCTACTAATAAATATTTTAAATAAATAAACCAGTTTCAGGAAGAAAGGCAATAAAGTGGGGGGGAACACAGAAGCAGCATTAATAGAAGACAATGTCATATGGATGCTCCAGAAAAGAGTGTTGCAATAAAGAAGCCAAGGCATAATACAGCAGACTGGAAATAGTCCTGCTTTAGCTATTGTTTCTATAAAAAGCACAGTCCCTACAAAACTGAAAAAAGTCACTTTTCACACAGTAGTCCTATAGAGAAATTACTACTGTGTGGGAATGTGCATGAAATCTCTTAATCCTGCATACACATAATTTGCTGTGTGCGCATTTGCTAGGAAACCACAATTGGAATTCCTGGCCTGATTTACATGAAATACCCTAATGGTTTGTACTGATTGACCACATACGGGGGTGGGAATTTATGTATCAATACACAGTCCACTGAAATGGAGTACAACACCAGAAATAGATTTCAGAAGGTCACGTTTCACGGGGGAGGGGGGATGAGGAATTGCAGGGGGAGACAATTTGGACCTCCCACCCGTGGTGTTAAAAGAGAACTGACAGAAAAATAGTGCGCAATTAGACTCGCTCTGGGCCATTTCAGCAGCCAGTCTAAACTTGTACATATGTAGCAATTGTTGAAAACTTCTCAGAAAACCACCAGGGCCTGGGTCCACGGAGGGGCACGCACAAAGACACCACCACCACCACTGTCAAACGCGCAATCAGACGAGAAGGGAGGTGAGAACACCACCGCGCAAGCGCACGTCGCCTACCACTTGGCTCATACACCAAGCAGTTTGGTGGGACCAAGAGGGAAACCGGACACCGGTGCAAAGACAGGCTCGCTCTCTCGAGATGAAGTGTCCCAGCTGAACACTGGAGGGGGGGAGACAAAATCAACACCAGCACGGGGGGTCCACTCTCTCCCAGCCCACGCCGAACCGGAAACAGAATTGTGGAGGCCGCAGCGGAGTGTTTCCGGCGGAAGTGGCGCGCGCCGCAGTCTGAGTTGCTGGTCCCTCCTGTGCTCCTTCCCTGTCGTGCCCGGGTGCCTGCTGCGCGAGGAGGGGGGGGGAGGAGAAGGAGGGGGAAGAGGGGGGCGGAGAAACCGTTGCCGGCTCCAGGCGGCCGAGCCGGGGCTCTTCCCTGCGCGGATTCTCGTGTCTCTCGCTCACCGAGGCGGCGGCAGCGCTGACGGGATGCGTCCGAGAGTGGCCAGCCGCGCTTGAAGGATGTGGCGGAGGCGGCGCCGGTGGCTGTTGTAACCCCGGCTGTGAAGGAACTCGGGAGCGCTCCCATTGATCCGTATCCGGACCCCGGCGGCAGTCGGCCTGCCCTAGGCTCCTTTCCCGCCTCTGCTCTTTCCGCCCCCTCCCAGGCCCTCGCTAGCCGGTGCTCGGGCGAAGACGGCTCAGCCGGCCCGAGCGGCCTAGCATGGCTTCTTCGTCCGGGAACGACGATGACCTCACGATCCCCCGAGCGGCGATCAATAAGATGATCAAGGAGACGCTGCCGAATGTGCGGGTGGCGAACGACGCCCGGGAGCTGGTGGTGAACTGCTGCACCGAGTTCATCCACCTCATCTCCTCCGAGGCCAACGAGATCTGCAATAAGTCCGAGAAGAAAACCATCTCTCCCGAGCACGTCATCCAAGGCAAGAGCTTCCCCCCCGAGGAAGGCACACCGTGGCTGCTTTCGGACAGGATAATAGACCTCAAAGAACTTATATAGCCGCAGTTTGCAAGAATTTCAGGGTGCTGCACACAACTCAATGGGATTTTTCGAGACACTGTTTAAGTGAGAGTAGAGCAGACTAGGTTGCCTGAAGGATTCTGATAAGGTGTAGTAGTCTTTGTGGCTCAGCTAGTGCACTGTACGTTTCATTATTCCAGGCATTTCAAAGAAATTTATGAGATTCAGTGTATAGGCAAAACACTTCCCTGTGTGGGGCATTGTGTGGCATGGCATATGTTTTAAATTAGTTTTACCTGTTTTCTGATCCCATTGAGTACAGTATTAGCAGAGCTGAGTATGTGTGAAGCTACCTTCCTACTGAGTCACACCATCAGTTCCTCTAGCTCAGTATTATTTATTCTGACAGATAACTCTCCAGAGTCTTTGACAGAGAAAGGACTTTCTCCGTACCTGTCACCTGAGAGCCTTTCAATTGAAGATGCCAAGGGTTGAACCTGGGACGTTCAGCATGCAAAGTATGTGCTCTGCTGTTGAGCAGCTGCCACTCCCTAGCTTAGAGGACAGCTTTGTTGGTATGCTAATGGTTCATGCAAGTGTAAAAAAATACTTGTAAGCAAAATGCCAGACATCTGAAACCCTACCCTGGAAAAGCATAGCAATTGATGGTAAAAGTCAGCTCTGCTGATTGTGGGCATACAGGCAGAAACAGTATCTGGATGTGCTCTTGTACTAAATGCATCTGTTTAAGAAACTCACCCATATTGGTTGGAATTCCAAAAAAGCTAACTTAAAATTGCTTGCAAATTAGAACCGTTCCTTCTTTGCAATAGCAAGCTAAATTGTTCAATGCCTCTTCCAGGGCAGTAAAATGAGGCCATCCACAGACAAGGCAGAGGTTTCTGCATACTTGGGAAATCTCCACAGACATGCAGGAAAATATTCCTTTGTAATTTTTTAAAAAGCTAGCCTACTTGGGACTGAGCATACTCATTACCTTCCATGATACACAGAAAATAGAGATCAGTGGAGGGAGGGAGAGAATTGGCCAGTTCAAGACCCCTACAGCATACAAAAAGTTTGTATGTAACCAGGTGTTGTATAGAGAAGAGGTAATAATACCTTTCTTTCACTACTGGACTGTGCATGTTAGAGGTTAGATGGGTAACATCCTTCTCCTCTAGCCTTGAATCTTGTCAACACATCTGAAATACCAAACTTGGTGAGCAGGAAGCTATTCGTCTACTTCCAGAGTTCAGCTGTCTTGTGCAGATAGATGCTAGGAAAAGGAATACTCCCAAACGTTTTCCTTTCCCCCCTTCTCCCCCAATTCATTGCATGTCTCATACTTGTATTTCCATTATAGTGGAAGAAAATGGCCCTTCTCCCCCAATTCATTGCATGTCTCATGCTTGTATTTCCATTATAGTGGAATATATTCATGAAAATGGTTCATACTTTTTAATTAAGATGGTATTTCATGTGTGTTCATTGAAACAGTATGGAGAAACGTGCTACCATATGCTTCTGGGGATTGAAAGCAAAGCTGAGTGATGAAACACGGGGTGGTTTCTGATTAAATATTTAATTAGCTGTGTTGAGACATAGTTAATTATTCCAGTTAATTTTTTGCACCTGTTCTTTTGCTTTCACTTCCTGTAGTTTGTGGGAAATAGGTTTTTTCTTTATTATATGTTTCACAAAATAAGTTTTTTCACAAATCAAAGCATATTTATCCTGAGTAGCGCTTTCCATACAACCAAAGCAAGTTTGATTAGGTTATTTTTCTTTCCTGTTTCTTCTCAAATCACGATGATCTTGCATGTGTGACAGATCTCAAAGAGTGTTTACAATGGTTTCTGCCTTGACCACATTCAGAGCAGCAGCAGTGAAAGTGACTAGAAACTTGGTTTCGCTTAACTGCTGGTTGATTCTAGTTTCAAGCTCAACTAATGTTAGATTTTTAAATATAGGAAACTTGGTAGTTTTTGCTTCATTCAGAGGGAATTATAATGGCAAGCCCCTAACTTGAACAGACACTGTGTTCAGAGCTGCTTGTTGCCTGTGTGAAAACAATCAAACTTAAGTGTCAAACTGCATTCTGCAGGTTTAGTTCCTCTATGTTATTCCTTTTGCATGCAGTGGACATAGGAAAGGCAAGAAGAAATACAGGGCACTGATGCCTTCCTTTCTAGAGATCCTGCTTAATCTCTGACTTCAAAGGCTTCAGTGGGCTAAAAGTAGCATAAGCCTGTTTTGGGGTGTGCAGGCTATTTTTTAACAAGAGAAACCTGAAGTTCTCAGAATACTGAAACTAGTGTAATCACAGAATAGTAGAAATCACATAGTCTTGGCTGTGTTAAGGTACTTACTGTGCTCTTGATTTGCCTCAGA